TCTTGACAAATGTTTCCTCTTTGATACTACAAGAAGTAGATACTCTGTAACCACCCTATCCTTCGAGATCATCGAAGATAAAATCACATGAATCCACTTGCCGGAAGGCAATCCTCTAAGATTTTTAAATATCTTCTTTCTCAATATGAAAGGCTTCAGGTGTTAAATTGAAGAGTTTACTTTTGATATCGGAATTTAATATCATAAACGCCCACCCATTCAAACTCTCAAGTAAAATCACCTATGTGATGGGAAACGAAAATAGTATGTGAAAATTAATTTCGATAAGAATTAATATTGTATACTTAACATGAACAAATAAGTTAATGAACGGTCGTAATAATAAATATTTAATATAAGAATAAACGACAAAAAAAATTTCTTTATCGGAGTAAATCATCCTTCAAAAAAATAACCTCCGTGAAAATAATACTGCCCTGAGGTACACATAGGAGCAAATGGAAGTACCAGTATCTAGTAAATAAAATGCTTCCGTTGCGCTTCCCTTCGCTTCGTAGCATTTAACCTTAACGCGAACGTGCTGGATATAAAAGGGATAAAAGGAAAGGAAGAATAATAATAAGAATAAAGCAAAATAAAAGAATAAAAAATAAAAGTGCAGATACAAAATTCCCACGAGGCGCCTCGTTATATACATCGTCCGAGCGCCGGTTCTTACCGTCGATGATCGTTGATAATGATAATGATAATCATCGTGGTTTCTTTTACAGTAAAACTAACCCGACGAAAGAAAGCAACGGTTGATCGTGATCTCTTGTTCGCACGTGACCGCCCACAAGACGATCCCGCGAACTCCTTCGTCTATCTATCTTTTTTCCTATCCTTCTTCCACCAACTCAGTTCTTCCTCCTTTTCCTCTTGTTCTCCTCTTCCACGCGTTTTCTCCGCGAAGTTGAACGAACTGTTGTCGCATCGGCCACTGACCGTCGTCCTTTTCGTCGTCCTCTGTGAGTCAAACATGGACTCTGGTAATTTGATTAAGGGGATTCTCTTCTTATGCGTTAAAAATTTCTCATGAAATGAGAATTTTCATGGTTACAATTTTTGTCCGATTCTAAAGATCAATCTAATATGATCCTTTCACATTTTTGAAATAGGCTTTTACTTACATGACAATTATCCATTTATGCAAAGAAAATGACTTTTTTCAAAAATCAAACACAATCATCTTGTTAAAAAAACTTTTATCTTATGAATGAGCCTTTGATCATTAAAGTTGGACAAAAATTGCGTCCAGGAGAATTTATGAAGATTCCATGCAAGTATTCTTGTACCATGCAGGTTATGCTATGGAGAAAATGACGATGACATTATACGTTTCTCTAATCTCACGCGTTACTTCTTTTGTAAATATAAAAAAGATGACACAGTTATCTTTTTTATATTTTCTGCTATCTTGGACTCGATATTCGTACGAATTCCGTTGGTATTCCGAAACATATTATTCGATTATTTATATATATATATATATATATATATATATATATATATATATATACATAAAAATTTATTATTATTCCGATTGAACCCTCTAAATGATGTTTGTAAGAGAAATTATGTTTTGACATATGATGAAGACAATTGCGATTGTCCCCGCTTAGTGGCTCATTTTCCTCTTTAAATTCTTCGAAAAAAACAAAAAATTTCTATATTTTCCTGAACTTCTTACAATTAGTTACATAGATTTTCATCAGTCTCCGGCAATAACTTTTTTTTCAAGGAAAAAATATTGTCCTTTTCATATCTGTTCTTTCTCACACAAACTCAAATATATGCATCTATATATGTAGAATCATGATTACACATATAATAAATACAATAGGAGAAATGATTATTTCGGAGAATAATTAAATGATGAATAATTAAATGAAACGAGAAATTTATTTCTTTGGAACTTTCTTGTGGTGCAATGAAAAGCAATGATCAAGATATTAACGCTTCGTGTGTTAATCACTGTCGGGCCATTTAAATCGCCCTATGTATCTATCACAGCAAGACCGTTGATTTTCGCAATATGTTAGTTCCTTTCTTTGTTAATTTCTAAAAAAAAATATAAAAGGAACACTTGAAACCAAGCAATATGACAAAATAAACTAAGGAAGAAAAATTGTAATACTTCTTGCAATGGGACTTATATGCAAGTATATATATCTATTAGTTTTTTCTAAATTAGTTTATTATTATAATAAATTGTTTTAGATAGATTGGTGAAAAAAAAGTAATGCGCTTAATGTCAAACGAGTATATGAGGAACATCAACGTTTATCTAGAAATTGCATGTTTCGTTTCTTTTACAGGATATCTATTGACTTCGTACCAGCTATTTTCTAAAAATTGTCAATTAGACATTGTCTGATGTCTCATTGACAACTCAGTCCTTTACTTCACGTATTCCGACAGCGCATGAGGGCATATGTACATATAGGTACAATGTACCTATACTAGCATACATACCGACACGATAAATCAAGAGAAGAGATAGTATTTAATGTGCTTTTAGTTTATTTTTTCTACATTCGTCGCTACTAAAATCACACACGTCTTGAAGAACATTAAATGAACAACCTGAACGATTATCTGGTGTAAAGAAAAAAAAAAGAAATGCATTGTGTTGGAAAAAAGAAAACAACTTGTACAAGTTACTATTCGTTCATTGTAACTTTTGTTCTGACATCGAGTCGTTAAGTTTTCTTTTTTCCTTTTCTTCTTTTTATCTCATTAAAGTTGTTTCGTTTTGAAATACTTGGAAATGTATTACAATATCTTATGACATTTTTCTATTTCATAATGTTAGTAATATTTGATAGAGCATACCTATGAAAGATACTCATGGATTTTCATATGAAAATGCATATCTCGACTGATAAGATAAAAAAATTGCTTTCTGTTATCCTCCATTTTCTTGTTTTGAAATTCATCTTTTTTCCCAACTTCTCGTGGAATAAAAAATATAAAAAATCCGATGTAAGAGCATTGATGCGGAAAAATAATAAACAATGCGATAAAAAGAAGGCGATTCGTATCATCGATGAAACGAATGTTAATATCAAGGACATGAATCAAGGAAAAATCCTATCAGTATGTGTTACTAACGACCTTTCTCTTTTTTTTTATAAAGATAAATCCCTTTTTTTGTAATCATAACGATGCACGCATGTAGTTCGCATTTATATAATATGCGTCAAATCCAACGGAAGCGTTTAATTAAAAAGGCACTTATTACAAGCTTGGTCAATCGATTGATTTTCCTTCTTGAACAAATATAAAATACTCAGACTACACATAACTGATATAAGTATGAAAATAATTAATGATCTCTATAGTTCTTATGGGACATAAAATATAGAAAAACTGATATTCCTTATTCAACACTTCTGAGTTAGATATATCAGTGCGATGTTAATGAGTCCACTTTGTTTTGTCAATTTACTTGTATTTTATCCTTCCAATCTTCCTAATTATCTTGGCGAAGTAAACTTGAAAACCGGCCTTCGATATCTTCGCCGAAGCTAACATATACCTACATTATCGATATCTGAACAATTCTAACAAATGTAAAATAATAATAAACGTTTTCTGTAAGACATTAAATTTATCCATAATCTGAGAATAATATATCTTTCTAAATTCTATATTTCAACATTAATGTATATTTAATAAGAAAATATACTTCTTGTTACTATTCGATCATTTATTTGCACTGCGTTTATTATTGCATTTAATTTTTTTTTTCTCTTACATATTTATAGATACCTATCTTGCAAAGAAATAGAAAGATAACAGAAAATTTCAGGGAAGAAGCCCACCAATTTTAACTTGTCTAATCTACAAAATTTACCGTTATCCCATAGAGGTCTTTAAAAGAAACGTCAAAAAACGTTGTAAAGATACATAGGTATGCGAAGGCATTTATTCTACCGTGACAGATAAGGAAATACATCGAAATGAAGATGATTCGAAGGTCATCAAATAATATCGATATATCTTGTAAATGAGCCTTTGAATCGTTTTGAATGGAATGTTGCGCGAAGAAACATTATTTCAAATATGAATTTCATAATTTTAATTTTATCTATTTTTCGAGTGTATGCACGAACCTACTTTTTTGATCATATAAAATAATGCATGAATTTTAATATTAAATATTTAGGTTCTCGTTAAAGTAACTATTTAATCAGATCACTCAATGATTCATAAATTGGTATAATAAAGAAAAGAAAAATGTTACCTAAGATATTAAATTAAATATTGATTAAAAATATCCGTTTGTCATTACCAAGGAAAATTCATTTCATACTCTCGATTATCTTCATCTAGGAAAAAAGTCAAGATAACAACCCTCGGAGAAAAAGGACGCTATGATCGTTAGTGAGGGTGAATTTCATTGAAATGACGATAAGATGGCGAAAGAAAGAAAGGAAGAGAAATGTAAGAAGAGGAAGGAAGGAAGGAAGAAAAGAACATTCTTGATATCCTTGGATACCAAGAAAATCCTTGGATATGATCGTGCCAGTGTAATATGTAACAAGTATTGAGCATGTAACGATCGGTACACGGTTTGTGCCCCCTTCCACCTGAAAGAGGAAAGATCAAGCCACGATTCTTCCTCGTGTACGCATACGCACGCGAACGAATGATCGAGTAAACGAGTAAGCGAGCGTCCTCTTCGTCTTCGCCCTCTCTCCATCTTTCTTTCTCTCTCTCCCGTATCCGTGTGTACGCTTAACGCACACGGCTAAGCCAATTGGAGAGCCAAGACTTGGCCAAGTCTTTATAAGTAGGAGCCATCCGAGTCCTCAGGACTTACTCCCTCTCGAGGAACGTACCACGATCGGCGACCGATTTTGCAGAATAGTTTCTCAAAAGACGTCGTTCGTATAAGAATAGCCCTCGACTGTTCCAACAAAGAGAGAGAGAGAGAGAGAGAGAGAGAGAGAGAGAGAGGGAGAAAGAGAGAAAAAGGGTGGAAGAGAAAAAGTGTTCTTGTCGTTTGTTACTCCTGTTGTTTCTGCTTGGAAATGAAGAAGGAAATTTATTCCGAAGATCGAATAATCTAAAGGAAAGCTATAGAGATTACGGAAGATGCGGAAGAAGTCTATAGATCATCGTTGAAGGAGTTAGGATCTATATTCTCTAAGAGTATCTTCCCTTTCAATAAGGTAAGTACTTATCGTGATTTATCGATCTATTTAGTTAGTTTTCCAAACGACTTTTTCGAACACCGTGTTGAAAGATTATAGTAAGGGTCGGAGTTAATCGATCGTTAAAATTAATTTATGAATCGTTTACTACACAAATAATCATTAGTATCATAAATTCAACTATGTTCTCTTTGTTGTTTTCTATCAGTTTTGTTTTGTGTTACGCGAGTCATAAATCTTCCTTTCTCGATCACACGCAGCGCGTTTTATATGTTTCGAATTTAATGAGAACATTTCGCAACGGTATCGAATCTTTAATTAATCTATCGAAAGAATTCGAGAATGTCTATCATAAATCTTTTATTAATATTTTTTTCTTTTATGACTCTTTCTAGACCTCGTGAATTTCTTTTTTTTTTTTTATTACCTTCTTGAGGATGTTAGATTCTTAAACTCGACACGAATGCAAATTGCTTTCCCGTAGAGTATTGGAATTCGTCAGTGATTGCATGGACTATCGAACGTTTCGTGATCATTTCCGGCGTAGATTTCCTCTAACGCCTTGACATTTTGAAAACTCTTAAATAATTCGATCGCATAACAACTACGAAGTAAGAGGAATATCTATTCTCTGCGGAAGATCGAAACTTGCTCAATGGAAGTTGCATCAATCTTAAATGCACATCCCGTTTTCTCTATCGGTGAATGTTATGCGTGAATGATTCAGACCGAAATACAAACAACAATCAGTGGACGCGAATCTTTAACAATTTTACATCCAGCGTATGAAAGAAAATAATACACAAAAAGAAATCATTTAGTGTTTTCGATATGTCACTCTTGGTATCTTTTTGAAATATTCCGAAATTGGGAAACAAAATTTCTTTTGTCAAATATATAAGGATGCAAAATTAGCATAATTTCGAACGTCCGGGGACACCTAATGGATTTAGGAAAACCCACGAACGTGTACTGTTGGCCAACTGATTATGATGCAATGAATAATCGAAGTTCGAGGACTCGACGTCTATAATTGAATTGGATGATGCTTTATCGATCCTTGCTTTTCATTCATCTCTCGCGCCAATTACACAACTATGACGTCGGTCTACAGTGACGAGGGTCCACACAGGTTCGTTTTTGTTTTTTTTATCCGTTCCAAATCAATCGTGATTCCTGAATTATAATCGTCATGATCTCATTTACGTGGGAAATTAAAAAAATAGAGGAACAGACGTCAATGACCCGTCGATTAGAAGAAAAGGAGAAAAAAATAAAAAAGAGCAATGAAACTTAGTCGTCGTTGACCCATTGAAAATTGTTTCCGCAATGATCGCGAAACATAGATCGATGTCATTCGACAAGCTAGAGGATGATCACGTAACCGTTTCACCTCGTTACAAGGCGGGATTACGAATTTGACAAGGTGTCCGTGACTCAAACGTGCCAAGCCGAAAAATTCACAATCCAATCTGTGATTCCTGTCACACCCGTACGACCGAAAACTGAATGTTATCGGGTCTGTATTTGGATCGAATGCGATTCGAATGCTTCGCTCGAAACAAACCGATCGATCGATCTTGGCATTGAACTACGCGAGAGAAACGCCGATTCCACTTATACATATATACATTTATGCCCGTCCTCGACATTGTCTCGTCACGATCATTCTGAGAGCACTTTGTGATCCATAAATGGCAGCGTCCTTAAGCCCAGTGGCGTCAACCATACTATCTTAGTTTTCATTTTTAATTGAAATTTTCCTGATTTTTAACTTCTACATGAGATTCGAATATTTTCAATTTGTGAAAAGAATTATATGATATATTGAACAATTAAATATTTTTTACTTTTGAATAGGCCAATCTTGCATCATTACGATTATTTCCCCGTTAATTTCTCTGTAATAATATTTATTAATAGATAAATCTTAGAAAGGATAATTTGCTAGTAATAAAACAAAAGTAATTCTTAGAAGAAATTATACCTAAGTATTAGACACATGTTCAAGAAACAACCACAACTTCGACGCCACTGTTTAAAGTATTTGCTAAGAAACGAAATAACCGGCAAAACAATGTCATGAGGCGCTGAGATACATTATGTACGAGGACTGGACACACGTGAAACTTTTTCGGCCCTTTTTAGTCAGCACCTCGTGAGTACTAAGAACAGAACGAACATACTACGAAAAATTTTTACAAACGAGATTCAGGATGCTTTCTACGTGCATCTCATGATACTACAATTAGCATGAATTATCTTGTAGTTGACCATGAAGAAATAATATTTTTCATTTAATCGTGGATCATTATATTTTCTATTTTGGTCATCATCGAAGAAATCATTGTTAAAGATTCAAAAAAGTGAAGAAAAATTGATGTATGAACGCAGGAACAGATATGGTACATACATGAAAACGATCCTTCCGAACGTCCTTCCAACGATAATCGATTCTCACAAGCATTCGTTTAAAATACGGCCGAATATGGCGCGAACTTTGAAATATCGGTTGGCACGTGCCCAATCTTCGTATTACTAACATTTATCCACCATTCTTGGCTTTCTCATTTTCCATTGAAAATTGTCGACGAGGTCAACGATGAAGGACGAAGAAGAAGAAGGAATAGAGAGATCCTTGAACCCTCACCGGTTGGCGCGGTGAGACCTGTACGAAGACGCGTATGATGAAGAATACATGGTTAATGCGGCGTAGCGTGATTGTGGTGGAAGAGAACCTGAAAACGAAAAGGAAAAAAGGGCTTGGAAAAAGGAAAAGATCGATTCGTCTGTTGCTGGTGGTTGCGAAGATAGTAGCAAATGAATAGAAAGAGAGCTCGCGAGAGCAGGCACTTTCCAAGTATCCCTTTAATTGCAATCCACTGAGAATGTAAATATACTTAGATGAAACATTGATTCTTCTTAGAAAAAATTGGTGAATGAGCTATAGATAAGATATTTTTCTTCGCAGTGGTGCCGAAATAACAGTTCTAAATGTATCAGGACAATAAGATTGTTTCAAACGATCAAAAATTTTCCACTTAGTTACATTTGACTTGTAAAGTATTTTCAAGAAACTGTCTTTTTATAATACTTATTTACTGTGTTATTAATTTTAACGTCATTAATTCATGTCTATTAACCATTAAAATCGTCAATTTCAGAATATTTTTAAAATTACTCTTTACGTATTTCAATCTTTAGATATCATGACCTGATTTTGTCAAATCTAATCACATCGTATGCAACTGTTACGACTTACCTAAATCTTGAAGTCGTCGAACTCTGATTGAGGATATTACTGAGTATCGAATAAAGACAAGAAAAAGAAAATAAGTTCGAACGTAAATACGTATATCAGATTCTTTCAACAAGTTAGCTTCAATCTGACGCCATTGTCAATAAGAACAGGAGAGATACATTCACGATGGAAAGATTCATAAATGAAAACGATGGAGAGGGAGAAGAAACGACCTTGCAACTTTCAACGGCAAGGCTGCGCTTATGGCAGCGTATTTGCCATCATAACAATCTTAGGTTCACTGTACCAAGTTGCATCGTGTGCAATACGATACCAACCTAGTGGATTCGCATCGTCATGTAGCATCAGGTAGTTTTGATAGATCTCAATTAGATTATAAGCGCAAACGCAAGTCTGATCCTACATATCCTCACATACTTTCGCATCCCTATCTTTGATCTATTGCAATTTCGATCAGACATTCTGTATATATATATATATATATATATATGTATGTATGTATGTATATTGACTTAAAAAAAATCAATTTGATTAAGTTTTTCATCAATTTTTCTTTCTTTTTAACTCTTACACGTTTCACTGTGGCTAGATTCAATCTACGATCCAAATAAATTCGATCATGTAAAATATCATAAATTCGATCCAAAGATTTATTATTGAGGATCTACTATCTAACATCAGATTGATCGATACCTTCAAATAGTTATCAATTCAATTTGGATATTAATTTTGTAAGGTTTTAATTAAATTAGAAATATTTAATGGAAGATTTTTTTTAATGCGACCTAAAATTATTTATAAATTAGGCCGTACTGTTTTAATCGTATTTTTCTTGTGGAATTCTATTGAGAAATTATATAAATAATGCAAATAACGGTGTGTGATTTCGAATATTTCCATACGATCGTAACACCGAACCGGTTTTGGTTGTTTTCCTGGTACACAGTTGTCCAAATTCGTAGAACATTTCAACTTTTCACGAAGGCTTTCCCATTTTCTTTCGTGCGAAATGTTAAAGCGAAAAATCAATGCAGTATTATAAATGGGAACTTCTTGAAACATGCTCAATCAATCGTTATATTGATTTTTACTATCGATACGTGAAGAATTCCAATAATCACTTGTAATTCGAGGTCGAACGTATCGAACGTTAAGATTCTTTTTTCTTTCTCTTTTTCTCTTCATCCAAAGTTTATCACGTTATTTTCTTTTTTTTCTAACTCTAACTAATATCTAAGCTTTCGATGAGTGACATACACATCTTCCCACCTGCGATTATCGTGAAATCAAAGCAACTCGTATATGGAACTTTCCTTTACAAAAATGATGATTATAAAAATAATCGTACCGTCTTTGACGTTTCGATTTAAAAAATATCTACCTATATATACCGAAAAAGGCATTTAAATTTGTCTCCATTGATGGTGGGTGACATTGGTGGCTTAGGAAATTAGAAAAATTCTGTATCCTGTGAGTAATCGTTCATAAAAATCTTAGCAACGAATTAGCATTCTCGCTTGGTGGGATGAGAATCGACTAAAAGTTAGGAAGTCTTTGAAGGGCACGGGCATATTATAATTGTTTCAAATGATAGTAATACCAGTTCTTTTTTATGAGTCAATGACTTCGCTTGTAAGAAACATGATGAAGGATCGTATGACGTTAATTAAATCATTCGAATAATCATGGTCCGGTACAAGCCAAATTTCTTTCTCTCCTTCCAGCAGAACGAACTTCCTTTTGGTAGGTTCACGAAAGTAGAAAATCATGGGTTGCAAGCGACCAAGAAGCATGCAATTATCGATAATAATTGCGAGGTAAAACGATGCTTCGAGCACCGTTGCAAATAATGTACGTAGTACCATTTTCGTCCCTTTCGAGGAGAGAAGAAATCAGAAATAAGAATTACTTCCTAGAGGAGTGCATTCCGAAAAAATTCGAAGCTAAGATCATTTGAAATCTTCACCAGCATTTCTTCCGCATTTATCCTTTATGACTTTCTTTCTTTTTCTAATTCATTCCTACATATGAAAATTATACTCAATCGATATGATAATAAACATTGATAAAACAGGAACTAAATAATTAGGTAACGACCATTATTATTTAAAGAAAAAGAAATTTTTTTATTTACCTTTCGTATCAGTTATTCTGCATGGAATCTTTTCAAAGTGTTCAGAAAAACGAAGGTTTCTTCGGAAAATCGAAGAATAAGGAACAAAAATAAAGACTTGTCGGTCGGTCGAGTAAATTGCACGAGAAGAGTTGAGATGCGAGAAGCATGTCGTCCTTGAGACGTTTCGAGACCACTTCGGGTTCTTTCGATCGCAACGGCAGGTGGTAGACCTGTCTGAATCGGTTTATAAATAAGTCGTGTAATGCTTTCATGACTTGTCATTACTCGCTCACACGGTCATGGTGTACAATCCTCGTCTTGTGTATCCAATTACACCATATTTATAAATTTCGTATGGTCTTATACTTATTATTATTAATAATAGTTTTATCCTTATAGTATTTAAAAAGAATTATATCGAAACATTTTTTTTAGCTTAGCATTGAAATATTAAAGATATCGCAAGATACCATCGTGAGATCATGTTATCGAATAAGCAAATTGGTAACCGTTTCATCGAAATATCGACCCACATTACGAGGAGCCGTGCGATTTGGGTGAAGTACCATCCTACTCTTGAATGAAACATTCTGCGTCGCGAAGACCACAGACCCGTTGATACAATCTCCGTCTCTTGAATACAAATCGAGATTATCCCAGGCGAATTATGCTCTCGATTCACGGATACGATCTCGTAAATAACCTCAGAGAATTTTCCTACTATGCGGTAACGTGCATTGTTCCTTGCAAACAGAATGCACAATGTTGAAACTAATTTTTTGTTTTTTATATCAATTCGAAAATTTGAAACACAGTTTTATAAAATTATGAATTAAATAATTAAATATAGTTATAACGATATTTGTGATCATAAATGAAATAAAAACATAAGAATACGAAGGATCTTAAAATAAGATAGCTATATAATCGTTGGATCCTTTTTGCGTTCAATCCAATAGTCATGAATGGTAATTTGCAATCGTCGTTGCAGCTCGTGTCATTGACTCGGAACTAGACAACTTGCTAAACCTGTATTCTCTATACTTTTATGCTAGGAAAATTAGTTATCCGACAAAAAAAAAATTAAAAGAATTCTGAATAAATTCATCAATGAAAATGATATTATGATATTGAATACTTCAACGATCACGTTATCGAACTTCGTCTCCTTTCACTAGAGTAATACTTCAAGAAAACGTAAATCCGCATTCTTAAGTTATGCCTTTATTCATAACAATTTTTTTTCGATCTTATTTCATAACTTTCGCTTTAAAACCTTGTGTTAGTTTCTTTCATAACATATTTGCAAAAAGAAAAAGAATTCGCATTCGAAGTATGTAGACAGGATTGTAAAGGAAAAAGGAGAAATTCCAATGTTTTCTTTTTAACTCTCATCGAATAGAATCGTCAAACGAAGTATAAGTAGTTGAGAATTAGCATTGACATTGAACTTCCAAGACGCCGGTAATGTCGTTGGAACCTTGGGATCCTCTCTCTTACTCGAGTATGTTACAGGAAACACCGTTGAATTTGCATTCTCGGATTACGTCAGCATGCTCCCACGATCTCTGAGTTCGTTCCTTCATCCCAATCTTAAGATAGAATCATAAGAGAATGAGGTTGCATGGTCTTTCTTTCGAGTCCTCTTCCTTTTAACCGGCTCCTCTTTCACTCTCTTTCTCGTATTGCACGGTCGTTCCACCCTCATTCCTCGTAGCCTCGATTGATAAATTGATCTTCATCACGAATACAATAAGTTAACAATAAGGTCGACCTAAGTAATACATTTTCTCAAAGCTTTCGATCGATGTTATTTCATTTTATTTTATTTTTTCTTTTCGTAATACCTTAGAAAATCCAGAATTGTATAATAAAAACATTAGACATTTTGTTTTATTCGAGCGATTTAAAGATTGTTAGATAAAACGGACATGGCGATAGAAAGGAAAAGATTAAAGCGAGCTTTTAGATACTCATTTATTCGAAACATGGTTTACAGAGATAGATGCAATCGCTTTCCTGCATACCATAGAGGGGAAACAATAATTTCTAAATATTCCATTTATACAGTAGCGTTCTCCTATTACATAAGAAAGTATAGCTAAAAAGAGCATAGAATCTAAAACCGGTTTACGATATAACTACTTTTCCAATATCACGGTTACATTGAAAATAAGTTCTATGCTAAATAACAAAGACAATTTTATGAAAGCCTTTTCCCAAGAAACGCTCGCGAAAGTAAACAAAAATGCAAACATTAGTGTGAAATTAAAACCGATTCTACGATTACGTTATATCAGACTTCTAGAAAAGAAAAATTTTTTTTGTATCTGACAATAAGACCTTAATTAAGATAAGTGAAGCTTTTAAACTTAAAAAAAATATATATATAATATACGGCAATAAGCCTTCTCAGTTACATCTTTAATAATTTTCTTCTATCTGCAACATTTTTACATTTCTATTTTAATATCTGATTTGAAAATAAAACATAAACTTGATACTCGTTCGTTAGAAAATGAATATATTATTTTCATTTAAAGGATCATATCAATTCGTATTACACAGGCAATATAGTAGATCATGATGGTTACAATTCGTTAAGAGAGATGCTGCCAGAACTTCTCTCGTCCTTTCTTTGGTATAGTGGACCGTATTTATGGCAGTAGATCGAGTACACTTGGTTGCATCTCCTGCGGCAACTAGTTCCATTGGCGGCGACCTAGGGAGACGGAGAACAAATTGCATCCTACGGATTCAGAACTGCTAACTGACATGTCGTAGTTAATTTCACTTGGATCAAATGAAAGAAAGAAAAACCACAGGGATTCTCTGATCTACTATTCTCTCTGATTCTATATTATCGTTATATTATAGTATGCCCAAGACACACGAAATTTTATAACTTCAATCTTGAATCTGTTCAAATAAAAAATCTCATTTATATAAAAAATAATATTCGATTATCATCTCTCATAAAATGACTCCGTTAAAATAAAAAAAAATCTCTATTTAAATAATTGAAAAATTTAATCGGTGGAATAAACGAAGATATAATGTCTTATTTACACTTATATCTTTTCTCTTAAAATTAGCCTCAATCGCACGAACGTATTATACATCATCAAATTATTTATTCTTATATATGATCAAAGAATGTTAAAGACGAAGTTGGTGGTCCAAAAGGAACATTTAGATCGCCGCCAATGACGTTACCCGCCAATGTGGTATGCCTCTTCTTTCTCTCGTTGTACCAATGCAGATCGTGGATCAAGAAAGAAATACAAGGGTGGTGGTGAACCATTCCTGTGACTTCCATCTCGATAACCAACAGGAATTGCGGACTCGGAGTCCACGTGCAGGATATCGGTGTTGATACTTGCATCGGAATAAAGTTTGTGCTTGCTAAAGGTACTCCTGGCGATCGCAGCAGGAATTTCGGAGAAACGCTCATTAACAAGATCGGGAGATCATTAAGAGCGTGATCAAATCTCGTTGAGATTTGTCTCGAGGCTAAGTAATAAAAAATTTTCTTGTTAATGAATTTGAATTGATGATATTTCGATCAGATGAAGAACATCTTACCTGATAGGTAAGACGAAACTTGATCTTTAAAAGATCATCGAACAAGTCTTTACAGTATTCAAACTGAATATTTCTGTGCGACGTTCCTCTACCTTAAATTTATAATTTGTATTAAGTGGGAGCGTCCGGAAATCATCACGAGAACGCCCAATAGGTATATGTATAACTGTACACGTAGATAATGCCAATGATTTATTCAAATGGTTATTTGACGATCGCGCACGCTGACCATCGTGTACACTTTAAAATACGAGACATGAAATCATTTACTGAGATTATCACTTCGAAACTGAATCGTGATTCAGCCGATCAGCACGGTAGATGATATGCGAGAGAATTATTCCGGCAACTTGCAAGGTCATACGAATCAACAGTTAGAATCCCTCGACTGGTAATGTCTTTTAGCGAAAGAGAGAAGCTTCTTTCTCTTGGAGTTGTGCCAATCGGAACGTAGGAGTAACTGTACATATGCTTATCGTTAGCGTTCTTTATGCGAAATTCTTATTTAAGGAAATTCTTACCTTGTGTTCTAGAAAAAGAGTTGACCAGACGAATGACTCGCATGTCACGTCCGAACCTTCCAGTTTAACAGTACTTCGACTGCACAATAACGTTTTACGCATGATCTTCCATTCGAAAAAAAATAATTAGTTTCTTATTTTTTTTTGTTTTAGGTTCGATCTTATTGGAATAATGTGGACGAAACGGCAAATTCTGCATATTTTGATAGCCCTTATCTTGACATTTGCAGAAGCAGGTGAGATATTGGCCATATCGTTAATATCGTTCTCTTTTGAGTAGACTTCGAGTTTACTTCGAGGAACAATTTATGAATCACCCTACACACATAAATCAATCTTTTAGCATCATTATATTATTATCTCATAGATTTAATGCCCTCTAAATGAAAAAACACTAAGACCTCTTCTTCGTGCATGTAAATTGTTTTAAACGAGGCGTTAAAATATTCTCTGAACTTCGATGAATTTAAATTGTAATACGTTTTCGGCCTGAACCTTTAATCACTGGATCCATATTAAGGGCTCTTATTTCACTATTACGAAGAAGAAGACTCGTTCGTTAAGTACCTATGGCCAATTACGGCCCTGGATGGGTTACACGTGAGATGGGTGCTGAACGCAAACGAGCTTTCCTATTATTTTTGCCTTTACTCGTCTCGATCACCACTGTTGTTGTTGTTACTCTTGCCGTCAAACTGGTTCCATCCGAGACGCACAATCTTGGATATATAGCGAAGTCGTGAAAAATATACTTCGTATCCTGCATGCCTCAGCTACTGGAAACAAGAAAGGAGCCAACGTGTCATGTTGATTCTATTTGATCTACTCCCGCAGAACATAGATTCTGAGTTCTTAATAAAACTTCCAAAATAATCATAGTCCTGTTTTTTTATTACATTTGTAAAATCAAAAACTGACGATCTTATGTGTATATAATATGAATTATCCGAAAATTAAAAATGTTATCTAAGTAGCTCTGGATTTCTAGAAATAATCGAACTTTGAATAAAAAATTGTTTGAAGAAAGAAAGATATTAAAAATGTAATTAAATTGGATATGATATCACAATATAAGTGTTTTGTTTCAGAACACCATGAGATTTATGAAGATCAATATAGAAAAAGTGATATCCCTTTCACCTGTTCTGAGGAAGGCTATCATCCTGATCCACACGACTGCAGAGTTTTCTACAGATGCGTCGATAAAGGCAATGGTGATCCTTTGACAATCTTTAAGTTCGAATGTGGAATTGACACAGTATTTTCCAGAGAAAAAGGAAATATATGCATTCATCCAAATGATAGTGAACGACCAGAATGTGGTAGATTTGAGAATGAAATAGATTCTGATATTCAAAATCTCAGTATGGATTCATACCCATCTTATTCTACGTCCACAACAACTATTAAAATGACGGATAGTACACATATAGCTACAACAACCACTACAACAGAGGCTACAACAACTACCCAAGATTGGACGACTACGAGAAGATCTAATATTAGTACCGAATTTTCAACAACTACTCAGCCATCAACACCTGAATCAAATCAAAATGAGACGATTGGTCTAGGAGGAGTACAATGTACTACTGATGGATATTTATCTGACTTACAAGACTGCAGAAAATTTTATAGATGTGTAGACGAAGGTGCAGGAATATTACGAAAATATGAGTTTACTTGTGGTATAGGAACTGTTTGGGATCCAAAGATCGAAGGATGCAACCATGCTTGGGCAGTTACGAGAGATGACTGCCGACAACGCCAAGAAAATGGCAATACAGATAGCGGACAATGGAATGGCGATATAGGAGCTAATGGGGGACAATGGAATGGAGATACAGGAGATAATGGAGGACAATGGAATGGTGATACAGGAAGTTGGAATGGTGACAGTGGTACATCAGGTAATGATATTAAACCTGATAATTCGGGAATTCTAGGAACACCAGGAACATCAGGCACTCCTGGAACACCTGGAATACCCGAAACATCAGGTACATCTGGCACAGCTGGAATGACTGGCTATCCTGGCTCTCCTGGTACTCCTGGAACACCAGGCATAGCTGGAATACCTGGATACCCTGGTTTTCCAGGATCATCTGGCATTCCTGGCTCTACTGAAACATCAGGTACTCCTGGAACAGCTGGTACTCCTGGTTCCCCTGGAACACCAGGAACTCCTGGAACAGCTGGCAGTCCTGGATCCCCTGGAACACCAGGTACTCCTGGAACAGCTGGCAGTCCTGGTTCCCCTGGAACAACAGGTACTCCTGGTTCCCCTGGAACACCAGGTACTCCTGGAACAGCTGGCATTCCTGGCACTCTTGGTTCCTCAGGAACACCCGGAACACCAGGTACTCCTGGAACAGCTGGCAGTCCTGGTTCCCCTGGAACAACAGGTACTCCTGGATCTCCTGGAACATCAGGTACACCTGGAACAGCTGGCAGTCCTGGTTCCCCTGGAACACCAGGAACTCCTGGATCCCCAGGAACACCCGGAACACCAGGTACACCTGGAACAGCTGGCAGTCCTGGTTCCCCTGGAACACCAGGTACTCCTGGATCTCCTGGAACACCAGGTACTCCTGGATCCCCAGGAACACCCGGAACACCAGGTACTCCTGGAACAGCTGGCAGTCCTGGTTCCCCTGGAACACCAGGTACTCCTGGATCTCCTGGAACACCAGGTACTACTGGATTTCCTGGAACACCAGGTAAACCTGGAACAGCTGGCAGTTCTGGTTCCCCTGGAACATTAGGTACACCTGGAACACCTGGAACAACAGGAACATCAGGTACTCCTGGAATAGTTGGAACACCTAGCTCTCCTGGTACACCTGGAACAACAGGGACTCCTGGTACACCTGGAACAACAGGCACAACTGAAATACCTGGCTACCCTGGTTCTTCTGGATCATCTGTCATTTCTGGCTTTCCCGGAACACCAGGTACTCCTCCAACAACCGGCACTCCAGGTTCCCCTGGAACACCAGGTACTCCTGGAACAGCTGGCACTCCTGGTTCCCCTGGAACACCAGGTACACCTGGATCTCCTGGAACACCCGAAACACCAGGTTCACCTGGTACATCTGACATTCCTGGAACCACTGGGATTCCTGCTAGTTCAGACATATCTGGAAATCCTGTTACTTCAGAAACTCCGAGCAGCACTGATACATCAGATACCCCTATTATATCGGCTACTTCAGGTGTATGCATCGAAGAAGGATTCTTCCCTGATCCAAAGAATTGTCGTAAATTTTATCGATGTGTAAAAGATAGCAATGAATTCATAAAATATGATTTTGAATGTGGTGTTGGAACTGTTTGGGATTCCACGATACAAAGTTGTAATCATGAGAACAACGTACCAAATTGTACAAGTAATGCTGAAGGGAATTTAACAACACCTGATTCTTCTGTCAATGAAATAGACTCTTCTACTCCTCTAAGTTCAAGTGAACAGCAACAAGTAAGCACATCCAGGCCTACTCAAGGCACAACATTAGCTTCAGTGTCATATCTTCCCCCGGAAATAACTACAGAAGGCACGACTACGACATTTACAAGACCAGAAGATTCGGCAACATCGACAGCAACTGACAGACCTAGTACTTCTGGAACTCTAGGTCCTACTGGACCAATTTCTCCTGGAATGCCTGGAGCACCAGGTAGTGTTGGTATACCTGACACCACTGGAACTGATGGCACTCCTGGTACAACTGGTGTTCCTGGAACGCCAGGTACTCCTGGTACTCCTGGAATACCTGGTACTCCTGGAACACCTGGTACTCCTGGATCATCTGGTACTCCTGGATCACCTGGTACTCCTGGATCATCTGGTACTCCTGGATCACCTGGTACTCCTGGATCACCTGGCTTACCTGGATCACCTGGTACTCCTGGATCACCTGGAAGTCCTGGAACACCAGGCTCACCTGCATCACCTGCTACTCCTGGAACACCAGGCTCACCTGGATCTCCTGGAACACCCGAAACACCAGGTTCACCTGGTACATCTGACATTCCTGGAACCACTGGGATTCCTGCTAGTTCAGACATATCTGGAAATCCTGTTACTTCAGAAACTCCGAGCAGCACTGATACATCAGATACCCCTATTATATCGGCTACTTCAGGTGTATGCATCGAAGAAGGATTCTTTCCTGATCCAAAGAATTGTCGTAAATTTTATCGATGTGTAAAAGATAGCAATGAATTCATAAAATATGATTTTGAATGTGGTGTTGGAACTGTTTGGGATTCCACGATACAAAGTTGTAATCATGAGTATAACGTACCAAATTGTACAAGTAATGCTGAAGGGAATTTAACAACACCTGATTCTTCTGTCAATGAAATAGACTCTTCTACTCCTCTAAGTTCAAGTGAACAGCAACAAGTAAGCACATCCAGGCCTACTCAAGGCACAACACTAGCTTCAGTGTCATATCTTCCCCCGGAAATAACTACAGAAGGCATGACTACGACATTTACAAGACCAGAAGATTCGGCAACATCGACAGCAACTGACAGACCTAGTACTTCTGGAATTCTAGGTCCTACTGGACCAATTTCTCCTGGAATGCCTGGAGCACCAGGTAGTGTTGGTATACCTGGCACCACTGGAACTGATGGCACTCCTGGTACAACTGGTGTTCCTGGAACGCCAGGTACACCTGGTTTACCTGGATCACCTGGTTTACCTGGATCACCTGGCACTCCTGGATCTCCTGGTACTCCTGGATCACCTGGTACTCCTGGAACACCAGGCTCACCTGCATCACCTGGTACCCCTGGTACACCAGGCTCACCTGGATCTCCTGGAACACCCGGAACACCAGGCTCACCTGGATCTCCTGGAACACCCGGAACACCAGGCTCACCTGCATCTCCTGGAACACCCGAAACACCAGGTTCACCTGGTACATCTGACATTCCTGGAACCACTGGGATTCCTGCTAGTTCAGACATATCTGGAAATCCTGTTACTTCAGAAACTCCGAGCAGCACTGATACATCAGATACCCCTATTATATCGGCTACTTCAGGTGTATGCATCGAAGAAGGATTCTTCCCTGATCCAAAGAATTGTCGTAAATTTTATCGATGTGTAAAAGATAGCAATGAATTCATAAAATATGATTTTGAATGTGGTGTTGGAACTGTTTGGGATTCCACGATACAAAGTTGTAATCATGAGTACAACGTACCAAATTGTACAAGTAATGCTGAAGGGAATTTAACAACACCTGATTCTTCTGTCAATGAAATAGACTCTTCTACTCCTCTAAGTTCAAGTGAACAGCAACAAGTAAGCACATCCAGGCCTACTCAAGGCACAACACTAGCTTCAGTGTCATATCTTCCCCCGGAAATGACTACAGAAGGCACGACTACGACATTTACAAGACCAGAAGATTCGGCAACATCGACAGCAACTAACAGACCTAGTACTTCTGGAATTCTAGGTCCTACCGGACCCATCTCTCCTGGATCACCTAGTTTACCTGGTTCACCTAGTACTCCTGGATCATCTGGTTTACCTGGATTACCTGGTACTTCTGGATCACCTGGTTTACCTGGATCACCTGGTTTACCTGGATCACCTGGTTTACCTGGATCACCTGGCACTCCTGGATCTCCTGGTACTCCTGGATCACCTGGTACTCCTGGAACACCAGGCTCACCTGCATCACCTGGTACCCCTGGTACACCAGGCTCACCTGGATCTCCTGGAACACCCGGAACACCAGGCTCACCTGCATCTCCTGGAACACCCGAAACACCAGGTTCACCTGGTACATCTGACATTCCTGGAACCACTGGGATTCCTGCTAGTTCAGACATATCTGGAAATCCTGTTACTTCAGAAACTCCGAGCAGCACTGATACATCAGATACCCCTATTATATCGGCTACTTCAGGTGTATGCATCGAAGAAGGATTCTTCCCTGATCCAAAGAATTGTCGTAAATTTTATCGATGTGTAAAAGATAGCAATGAATTCATAAAATATGATTTTGAATGTGGTGTTGGAACTGTTTGGGATTCCACGATACAAAGTTGTAATCATGAGAACAACGTACCAAATTGTACAAGTAATGCTGAAGGGAATTTAACAACACCTGATTCTTCTGTCAATGAAATAGACTCTTCTACTCCTCTAAGTTCAAGTGAACAGCAACAAGTAAGCACATCCAGGCCTACTCAAGGCACAACATTAGCTTCAGTGTCATATCTTCCCCCGGAAATAACTACAGAAGGCACGACTACGATATTTACAAGACCAGAAGATTCGGCAACATCGACAGCAACTGACAGACCTAGTACTTCTGGAATACTAGGTCCTACCGTACCAATTTCTCCTGGAATGCCTGGAGCACCAGGTAGTGCTGGTATACCTGGCACAACTGGAACTGATGGCACTCCTGGTACGACTGGTGTTCCTGGAACGCCAGGTACTCCTGGTACAACTGTTGTTCCTGGAACGCCAGGTACTCTTGGTACTCCTGGAACACCTGGTACTCCTGGAACACCTGGTACTCCTGGAACACTTGGTACTCCTGGAACACTTGGTACTCCTGGATCATCTGGTTTACCTGGATCACCTGGTACTCCTGGATCATCTGGTACTCCTGGATCTCCTGGTACTCCTGCATCACCTGGTACTCCTGGAACACCAGGCTCACCTGCATCACCTGGTACCCCTGGTACACCAGGCTCACCTGGATCTCCTGGAACACCCGGAACACCAGGCTCACCTGCATCTCCTGGAACACCCGAAACACCAGGTTCACCTGGTACATCTGACATTCCTGGAACCACTGGGATTCCTGCTAGTTCAGACATATCTGGAAATCCTGTTACTTCAGAAACTCCGAGCAGCACTGATACATCAGATACCCCTATTATATCGGCTACTTCAGGTGTATGCATCGAAGAAGGATTCTTCCCTGATCCAAAGAATTGTCGTAAATTTTATCGATGTGTAAAAGATAGCAATGAATTCATAAAATATGATTTTGAATGTGGTGTTGGAACTGTTTGGGATTCCACGATACAAAGTTGTAATCATGAGTACAACGTACCAAATTGTACAAGTAATGCTGAAGGGAATTTAACAACACCTGATTCTTCTGTCAATGAAATAGACTCTTCTACTCCTCTAAGTTCAAGTGAACAGCAACAAGTAAGCACATCCAGGCCTACTCAAGGCACAACACTAGCTTCAGTGTCATATCTTCCCCCGGAAATGACTACAGAAGGCACGACTACGACATTTACTAGACCAGAAGATTCGGTAACATCGACAGCAACTGACAGACCTAGTACTTCTGGAACTCTAGGTCCTACCGGACCCATCTCTCCTGGATCACCTGGTTTACCTGGGTCACCTAGTACTCCTGGATCATCTGGTTTACCTGGATTACCTGGTACTTCTGGATCACCTGGTTTACCTGGATCACCTGGTACTCCTGGATCACCTGGTACTCCTGGATCATCTGGTACTCCTGGATCTCCTGGTACTCCTGCATCACCTGGTACTCCTGGAACACCAGGCTCACCTGCATCACCTGGTACCCCTGGTACACCAGGCTCACCTGGATCTCCTGGAACACCCGGAACACCAGGCTCACCTGCATCTCCTGGAACACCCGAAACACCAGGTTCACCTGGTACATCTGACATTCCTGGAACCACTGGGATTCCTGCTAGTTCAGACATATCTGGAAATCCTGTTACTTCAGAAACTCCGAGCAGCACTGATACATCAGATACCCCTATTATATCGGCTACTTCAGGTGTATGCATCGAAGAAGGATTCTTCCCTGATCCAAAGAATTGTCGTAAATTTTATCGATGTGTAAAAGATAGCAATGAATTCATAAAATATGATTTTGAATGTGGTGTTGGAACTGTTTGGGATTCCACGATACAAAGTTGTAATCATGAGTACAACGTACCAAATTGTACAAGTAATGCTGAAGGGAATTTAACAACACCTGATTCTTCTGTCAATGAAATAGACTCTTCTACTCCTCTAAGTTCAAGTGAACAGCAACAAGTAAGCACATCCAGGCCTACTCAAGGCACAACACTAGCTTCAGTGTCATATCTTCCCCCGGAAATGACTACAGAAGGCACGACTACGACATTTACTAGACCAGAAGATTCGGTAACATCGACAGCAACTGACAGACCTAGTACTTCTGGAACTCTAGGTCCTACCGGACTCATCTCTCCTGGATCACCTGGTTTACCTGGGTCACCTAGTACTCCTGGTACTTTGGAAACACCTAGCAGCTCTGCCACTCCAGATTCCTCAGTTATACCAAGTAATTCAGATCTATGTAATAAAGAAGGATTCTTCTCTAATCCTGATAGTTGCCAGAAATTTTATCGATGTGTAAAAGATAGCAATGAATTCATAAAATATGATTTTGAATGTGCCATTGGTACTGTTTGGGATTCCCGCATACAAAGTTGTAATTACGATTACAACGTACCAAATTGTAGGAGTAACGCTGGTGTCGACATGACAACACCCGATTCTTCTATCAATGAAATAGATTTTATTAATGGATCAAGTACAAATGGACAGTCTGAAGTAAGTACTAGTAAACCTATGGAAAGTACAACATCTTCAATCTTTAGTTCTACTATAATAACGACTACTACTAATCATGAGGCACAATCTATGATTCCAACAACAATTATATCTACATCATATTTACCACCATCAATTTCTGAAGTAACTAGTAGTACACAAATGACTTCTAGTACTAAACCTCCCGAAGTTACATCACAAGTAACATCAGCCTCATACTTACCTCCTGTCAGTACTATGCAGTCAAATGATGTTGGTCAATCTGCAACTATATCACAACAGATAAATACTACTCCATCAAGTACTGGACAAGTAGGAACGTCGGATTGTAATACAGAAAGTTTCATCCCAAACCCTAACGATTGCAAGAAGTTTTATCGATGTGTCAGTTATCAATCCGGATTTGTAAGATATGAATTTCAGTGCGGTCCTGGTACTGCTTGGGACCAAAGTATACAAACATGTAATTATATTGAACAAGTCAGTTCCTGCATGATAAATAATAATGAAATAGTAGGAGAACAAGGTTCTACCTCAACTACTAATTCTAGTAAAACACCTGCAACTATTAATGAAAAACCTGGACAGACTACAATAAAACCCTCCTCAACTTATATACCAACAACTTCTGACTTGAATGAGGTTCAGTTTACATCTACTAAGTCTGAAAATATGCAGTTACTTGCAGGATCAACTACTGAAAGTATGTCGTCTTCTAAACCGCCATATCCAATTTCATCTTCCCCGTCTGAATCGACAGTTTCATCTTCTGAATCAAACACAGAATCATCTAATATGGTCAAACCGCCCTGCACGACATCCGAAATTAATAATACAATAGTTTGTAATGAAGAAGGATTTTATCCGCATCCAATGTACTGTGAAAAATTCTATCGTTGCGTTAACAATGGAAAAGGATTTAACGTCTATCACTTTAATTGCCCACCGAGTACTATATTCGATCCCAGTATAAGCGCATGTAATTATCCGGAATCAGTCTATCCAGCAAGAGATTGTACTACATTAGCAGCAGAGCCAAGTTCATCTGGTAATGATATTATAACACAATCTACGACAATATCAGAAGCAACAGAAGAATCTTCGTCCACTGAGAGTTCAACAACGCAAATTAATACCGAAATGTCTACAGGAACTACAACATCAATGGTAGAATTTACAACCACGGGAATTTCAACAGAAATGACATCGATGACATCGGAACAAACAACTTCCGGGGAAATTACATCCATGTCCAGTACTGAATCATTTACTTCAACAGTGACCGAAAGGTTAACAGAATCAACATCAAGTTCCACTGAACAAACGACAGAATCAACAAGTTTCACTGAACAAACAACAGAATCAACAACAAGTTCCATTGAACAAACAACAGAATCAACTGTAAGTTCCACTGAACAAACAACAGAATCAACTGTAAGTTCTACTGAACAAACAACAGAATCAACTGTAAGTTCTACTGAACAAACAACAGAATCAACTGTAAGTTCCACTGAACAAACAACAGAATCAACTAGTTCTACTGAACAAACGACTGAATCAACAGTAAGTTCCACTGAACAAACAATAGAATCAACAGAAGAATCGTCTATGAGTTCGACGCAATCAGAAGCATCTGCTAGTGAATCAACAACGGAACAATTTACTACAGAATCTCAAAAACAGTCAACTGAATCTCAAGAACAATCAACGACTGATAGTTCAGAACAATCTACTGAATCTCAAGAATCATCCACCACAGAATCTCAAGAGTCGATTACACAGACACAAGAGGGATCTACTACGGAATCAGATGAATCGACTTCTACAACCAAAGAACCTTCGATGGTGACACCTTGTCCTATTGGAAATTTAACTGATGAACAAATAACTCTTATTTGTCCCACAGGATTCCGTAAACATCCGCGATATTGTAATTTGTTCTACCAATGTACCATTGAAGGTAATATGGAAATCAAGATTCTCGTTTTAAGTTGTCCCGAAAATACTATCTTCGACGAGCAAAAAATTCAATGTCTTCCTGAAAATGAAACCAGTCAAGGTTGTACGGATCTTCGTGCCAATGCTAGATTTTACAGAAAGTTGGAAGAAAATTCAATAACACCAGTACGTATTAAAGTCATAAAATGAAATAAATTCATCATTTCATTAATAGATTATTAATTTAACACATTCTTATTTCAGGTGAAAGTCTCATCGCAACCTTTATGTCCTAACATTGGACATTATCCATATCAGCAGGGTTGTAGCAACACATTTTATAAATGCAAACGAGACAGTAGAGATAATTTGCAAGGATATTTTTATAAGTGTCCTGCGAACTTCATTTACTGGTCGGTTTCTAGAAGATGTGAACGTGCTACTCGTCTACCTATGTGCACACATTTAGCATACAGAAAGAATGATTTTTGGGACAGTCGATGGCAATTACCAGTCGAAGACATCAATCTTTCCGCGAGAGCATTGCGTCTTTTTTGAGTCATTAGCTAATGATACACTACTTTCGTAAATTTCCAAGAACAGTATAAATCTCTCAGGTTACATGCAAAACTTGTCATCAGGAAACATTATACAAGTCTTGCACGTAGAAGTGAATGAGACGATTAATCGGATTTTGTCAACATGGCTGCCGAAGATATAACATTTGACAGATCTTCGATAGCCATCTTGAAACGATTTACGTTCGTTCCAACTTCTACAATGAAACTGATAATATTTTTCTATTATAATCAGTTTCATTTAGAGTAGTTAGTTTAAATAATTACTAATTATCATCGATCATAATTCATATCATTGTGCCGTACAATCTTTGTTGACGACAATATTGAATATTTTTGACAAGAGATCATAAGCGATAATTGGGGTTTTGGTTGCGGGACTTGTATGCAATACACGACTGTATTTAATAGTATAGTAAATCATATGTATATTTATTAAGCTGATAATTAGTTTAAATAGTATTGATAGAAGTTCACGGAAAGATTCTCAGGAAATGTCTTCGTTGTGGAGTGATCTATACTCTTAAAACGGGAATAACATTTTTGAAGCGACTGAATTTATATGTTTGAAATGTAAAAAAAAAGAGGAAGAGAGATCTTCATAAGAAACAAAATTGAACATTTCAATCAATTTCTATATTTACCTTGTACATAACTATGTTTTCGTACTTCTAATTCAATATATTATTATAAGTAATATAGACACATAGTATACAAATATTTTAGTAAATATGTATACATGATTTTCGCGTGTTTATATACGATCTCTACCTAAACGACTACAAATAAAATGTAAGTTTTTCAATGTAATGTGTATCTTATTTTCCTGAGATATAATCGTTTAAGAAAAAAATTTACTACATACAGATATTGCCATTTTTTAATTCGAATAGAAAATATCACCTACAATTTTAACTACAGACTTACACTGCTAGATGGCGCAATCACTACACATGCACATAAAGAAATCGCACTGATGTATCACTGCGCCTCCTAACTTTCTAGGTACAAAATTAAAGTCGTAGGCAATCTTTTACATTAAGCTTTGGGATCCTCATATACTGAAGAAACTGTGAAGAAGTGTTCGAAAGCAAAGTTATTATCAAAACTGATTGTAGCTATTGTGCAGTTAGTGATAAAGTTTATATTGAAAGAAAGTAACACAAAAATTAGTTTAGGCAAAGAAAAGTAATCCTTGAAAAGTGCACTATGTTTCGTACTACAAATTTCGACAGACTGTTGGGTAAATTCCACTTCTTTTGTTCCATTAATACTTACAAAATGTCGGACATCGTTCGTTTATAATTATTTTTTTGTTATTTAACTACAGATAAAGCCACAAGTCACTTACAGCTTGAACCTGACTGGCCTACAATTTTACAAATTTCCGATCTTATACGGCAAAATGATGTTCAGTAAGTAAATTTTACATATTTAATATTCCTAATATAACAAAGTTAACCTGTATGAACTTTAATAATATTCAACGCGTATGTGTGTATGTGTAACTGTTACATATACATAATATATATCTATATTTTTATGTATATATATATATTCATCATACGTATGTAGGAACCTGAATTAGTCATACATCTCTGACTAATGATAAGCCAATTATCTTCTCCCATAGTTTGCTATTAATGCGGCCATATTGTATTTACTTCAAATATCATTATTTCATTAAAAGTATTTAGTATTCTATTTTATTTACAGGCCAAAGCAAGCACTTGCTGCTATAAAAAAGAAACTAACCAATCCTAATCCACATGTAGCTTCATATGCTCTGCTAGTAAGTTAAAATCTTTGAAATATATTTATTGTATCATTTATTGTCTTTTACAATTTTCTGTTAATATTGTATCACGTATTATTGAATAGGTATTAGAATCTTGTGTTAAAAATTGTGGATCACGTATCCATGATGAAATCGCTACTAAACAATATATGGAACAACTTAAAGAATTAGTAAAATCATCAACTCATGAACATGTTAGACAGAAAATATTTGAATTAATACAAGCTTGGGCATATGCATTTCGAAATATTCCTAAGTATAGGGCAGTGCAGGTAAGATTTTATTTTATATAATAATGTTCATGGTATATTGAATGAAAATATCACTTTTATATTTCTAGGATACATTAAATATTATGAAAAGTGAAGGTCATATATTCCCTACTTTACAAGAAAGCGACGCAATGTTCATGGCTGATACTGCTCCTGAGTGGACAAATGGTGACGTTTGTCACCGTTGTCGTATAACATTTACTTTTCTTCAACGAAAACACCATTGCAGAGCCTGTGGTCAAGTATTTTGTGGTCATTGCTCGAGTAAAGTATCTACATTACCTAAAATTGGATTTGAAAAAGAAGTTAGAGTATGTGAAGCATGTTTTGAACAAGTTAATAAGTTAGTACAATTCTTTCTGAATATATAATTCTTGTTATTATATTATTTTTATAATATAATATTTTATATCTTTAGGCCTTCTACTACCCAATCAAAAGAAACTGATTTACCAGCTGAATATTTGAGCAGTTCTTTGGCTCAACAACAACAGGTAAGAAAAAAAGAAGAGTAAATTATTTCGTTTAAATTAATATACAAGTATTTTTAGGTTCCTCCTAGAAAAACAGAGGACGAAATTCGTGAAGAAGAAGATCTGCAATTGGCTATAGCTTTAAGTCAAAGTGAAGCAGAACAAAAAGAGAGAGAAAAGAAACGAGCAACAAATGCTCTGAAATCTAATGCCGTTTCTGTATCTAAAACAACATATTCACCTCCCCCATCTCCTGTTAGTTATTACAGTTATTAACCATCATATTATATTCTGAATACATATAAACGTACCATGTGTCTATTTTATTGATAGTTTTATTTGATATATTCATTTTGTAGGGACCAAGTCCATCGCGAATTCAGGATGAAGAGGAAATTGACCCTGAACTTGCAAAATATTTAAATCGTAGATATTGGGAGCAAAGACAAACAGCAATAGAAGAGCATAGTGGAAGAACAGATGTAACCAGTCCTTCTGCACCTAATATAAGCAGTCCTATGCCTCAGAAAATTGTCATTGCAAAACAGCAAAATGGAGAAGTTGATATAGAAATGGAAGAGTTTGTCAGTGCTTTAAGATCTCAAGTAGAAATTTTTGTAAATAGAATGAAAAGTAATTCTTCTAGAGGAAGACCTATTACTTCTGACAGTTCTGTACAAAATTTATTTCTAAATATTACACGTATGCATTCAAGGTATTTTATACAAAAAATATGAACTTTTAAAGGTTTAAAAAATTTACTTGTTATTATTCATAATTAAAACATAACTTTATTCAATAGATTATTAACATATATTCAAGAGCAAGATGATAGTAGAGTATATTATGAAGGTCTACAGGACAAGTTAACACAAATTAAAGATGCCAGAGCTGCTTTAGATGCTTTACGAGATGAGCATAGAGAGAAATTGCGTAGACAAGCGGAGGAAGCAGAAAGGCAACGACAGATGTTAATGGCACAGAAATTAGCAATTATGCGAAAAAAGAAACAGGATTATTTACAGTATCAACGACAATTAGCTTTACAAAAAATTCAAGAACAAGAAAGAGAAATGCAAATGAGACAAGAGCAACAAAAACAACAATATATAATGAGTAAATCTTATTAAATTATTTGCTTTATAAAAATAAAAATTATTTGATTTGTTTTTAATTACGTCCTTCAGTATATTATGTATTAACTTCCTCTTCTTTTGTTTAGGTGGTTATCAAGCTATGCCAGGATATATGGGTCATTCACAAGGATCTCCAGTTCGTCAAATGCAATATCAAGGACCTGGATCAAATTATAATCCTATGTCTCCAACAGATCAGGGTGTTTATATGTATGGACAGCATTCAATGGGGCAATATCCTATGCAAGGTTATAACATGCCACCAATGAGTTCTCTACCCCCTCATATAATAGGTACAATGACAAATCAAGAATCAGCTGCAACTGATTCAGCAGTTCAATCGCGGGAAAATGTAGGTAGAGTTGTAATTACAAATACTGCAATGGTAAGTATATAAACAATAATCTCATGTTTCCAAAGTAAATGACAAAGAGTTATATAATTTAAAATCTTTTTATTATCTTTTTTATTATAGATGCCTCAAGTGACAAATCCTATAACACAACTTCAGCAACCAACTGGTCATCAGATAGGTCCTGCTCAACAAGGTACTGCTAGTCATATTCCAGTGACACAAGTACCGTCAAGCCACATGCCACAAGGACCTCACAATTCACAAATATCGGGTCTACCAAATCAGATAGGTATAGCTCAATCAGTACCACCACCTACTAATATAGCTCCCCCACCACCAAGGCAAATAGTTCCAGCGACGCACGCACCACCTGGACAAGTTGTACTTCCATCACAAATTGGACCACAACCTATTGGTATACCTATTCCACAAGGAGCTCCAGTACAACAGCATGTTTCTACCATTATTCCACCTCAAAGAACAACTACTATACAAGTTTCTGGTGGAGGCGGTACTGGAATGGTTCCATCAAATCAATCTCTACAAGGTCCTACAGGACCTAATTTAAATATGCAAGGAATGACACAAATTTCTGCTACCCAAGGCCAACCATTTACATTTTCACAAAATTCAGCTCCACCAGCAGCAGAAAGTACTCCAGCAAAAGAAGAATCAAAGCCTGAAACAGCTGAATTAATTTCTTTTGACTAAAATAGTCCAAATGGACATGAGGTTATACCATTATTACAGATGCATTTAGAGAATTTACAGTTTCTTAAAGCTTACTCTGAAATTAGAACATTATTCTAATATCCTTCTTAAATATATTTATTTACAATATCCAATTTCCGTTTTTAATACCAAATTTAATATAATTTACAAGAAAGTGATACTATATACGTTGGAAATAGATGTAATACCTGTAGAAAAGGAAAAATTAAATTATGATAATGTTAATAAGTATTAAAATTTCCCACATTATTTTAAAAGTAAACAAAATACCATTGCACTTAAAAATATTAAAGAAGTCTTATAAATATTGAATGCAAAACATTTTTAATACACAAATAATATTTTATATAGATAATTTAAATTACTTTTATTCTAGATTAAAAAACATATATACATTAAATCATTATGAGAAACATTATTCAAGAATTTATGTACTAATGAAGTAGTATTCACATTTAAAAAAACAATAAATATGATATTTGTATAAAGAATAAAACGTATCTACAAAATATGTAATTACGTAACAGAAATATTTATCACGATATATTCATTTATTAAAATTTAACGCGAATATACTATTTTTTATACAAGTGTTTATTTTGTAACTGCAAATGGTAAAGTATGTAATTACACAAGAGGCAGTAGTAATTACCTGTAATATCAGTTACCAAATACTGTGAAAAAACATAGTTTGAAAAATTTCGAACGACATACAAATAGTTACAGATTAAATTGATTGAGGATTTTGTTTCTATTTCGAAAATGTATATACATTTTTCTTCTTTCATTAATTTCCTAACAAAAATTTTCCTTTTTCCAATTTTTAAAAATAATTCTATTCTTATATAATTACACTGTCTCCACTTGACCCTTTCTACGTGGTTTAATTTCTTTATTTTGAGGAGAAGTAAACGATGTTTCTTCGGAACGTTTTCTAATTATAGATGAAGATTCACTATTAGTTGAACTACCAGGATTGCAACTATCTTTCTTCTCTAAACATATATGAGATGCACTTGCTCCATTAGACGTTAAAGATGTTTTACGATTACGCATATCCTCAAGAGGTATTTCTTCGCTACGTGGACGTGGCATTTTTGGAGAACTATCTCTAGATCGTAAACCATTTTCATGAATCTTCTCATTAGAGTTATTATCAACACGCTTACAACTAGTTGATGGAAGACCAAGAACAGGTCTAAGAACCTGTTCCCTGCGCATTTGTGCAGCGAATCCTGGAACTTTATTTACCGTAAACATTGGTCTTGATTGATCCTTCTGCCTTTGTCCACGTCCAAGAATACCTAAAATAATTAATATTAAAAATATTATATGTTATATATTGCGAATAATAAAATTTAATGATCATATAATGATTTGCTTACGGTCATGTCGCATATTACGTAAAGCATAGTTTGGGGGAGTAGACGAATGAGGTATACTTGTTGGTATATCCAATAATCGAGCAATTTGATTTATCTTTCTTTGTCGTACTTTTATTTTACCTTTGGTTAACCTATATCATAAAAGAATTTCGTAATATGTTTTTTATGTAGATATAAACTATTTTATATAATACCTTTGTTTTGCGGCCATACATCTAATGTGGTCACTAAATATAAATTTAGTTGATAGTAACGGAACTCTATTGCCTGTGCTATTACTCAAAGGCTTGTATATAGTTAAATTCAAATATCTGGAATCGTCCTTGTCACCTGCTACTTCAATATCCTGTAAAAAGGCTACTAATTTTGCTACGCCCCACCCAAGCCTGGTAGTGTCAGGTTCAACTAGAATTAATTGTGTTACATCAACGACCAAAAACCAATGGATTTTTTGTCCATCTTTCCATATAACTGTACATGATATTAAGTCACTGTTATCTGTAACAGTTATCAGAATTAAAACATGTTTCATGAATCACAAAAATATATTTTAATTGTTTACCAATATTAATGCCATATAGATATTTATCTTTTTTCTAATTATTACATAAAGCAATCATTTATTTTATTTTCAGATACTACTATTAAAAGATACTAATTTGTTCAGAGAAAACAAATAACTTTTACTTAGATCAAGCTTGTTGGTAACTTCTACACATTTATCTGGATTTGTTAAGGGTAACTGTGTTTCTTCTTCCATATTAATAGTGAAAGATAATTCCCGAATTAAGAAAAATACTCTAATCGCACGACGCGCTCTTTCCTCCTACATAAATGTAATTATTATACAGTATAAATATTGAAATTTTTTTATATAAATTTTCAATTTAGAAGAATACTTACTTCACCACATGGTAATCGTTTGCTAAATTCAATACCAGTCATTGGGGTACCCGTAGGAGGTAACAAAATGTTACTGTCCATCATCAACCATTCTACATTTAAGGGTCTTTTTTGAATTTCGTTATATTCGTCCTCAAACATATCCAAGAATATCTCTTCATTCTAATAAATTTCATGAAAGAAATTTCAGTAATTTCATAACTGTAATATGTCCATGTTTGATCACATACCTTATAAAAGTTCCTCAAAAGTGCTGTACTTTGTTCTTTTGCTGCTTCAATTGCTGCTAAATGCGAATCTTTTAGAAGACTTTGTCCTTCTGATAAAACTAACTGTGTCAACAATTTGATTGTTAATTCTAATGTAACAAGTCTCACTTTAGCATCTAACAATAAAAGAATTTCTATTTATTAATATCATAGAAATAGATACTTATTTTAATTAGTAATTGTATTTGATTTTATAACTCACTTATTTGACAGCTTAGAGAGATTATGTGAATTAGTCTATCTATTAATATATCATTGTACCAATTCTTTGTTTCTGCATTCTGTGAAAGAGATAGAACTAAATTCATTGTTTCACGATTTATATCCTTATAAATAAAATTACTAAATTACTACATAAAATTTATATTTATTATTATTATTCTGTATTTATTTATCCATTACCTGATTATTGGCTAATGCATAAAGTAAGCACAGTCCAAATAATGCAGCATAATCATTTTCTGTACAAAATAAGGAATTCAGTATAGTTTCTAAAAATGGTTTGTTTGATAATAGTTCAAGAGCATTATGTTGTATTTGACTCTGTGTTAATGGACTTTCTAGTGCCAAACGTTCTTTTTCTTCATCAGTAACATTCAAATGTTTTATGTCTTCTAGTTCTTCAGTCGGAATATTCATATCTAATTGTTCAGAGCTCTTAATAGATGTATCACAGGACAACACATGAATACGTGATGTGCTAGGTTTATTTAAATCTTGTAATTTTTCATCTATAGTTTCTCCAGTCTCACTTGTAAATTCTACATTATTATCATCATCATCATCATTAAGACTTTCTGAAATAGTTAATGATTCACTTAGATTTTCTAAGGATTTTTCTAATGTTTCTTTTGGCTGTGAAAATTCGACTGATTTATTTGATGATATATCGCTAAATGTTTCAATCACTTTTCGTACTCCTATCTGAATCATATTCAAATCAGATTTAAATATCACAGCTGCTAAAGTATATATAAGAGGTCCGTGAGAAACAATCAAAAATACTTGAGAAAGTAAAAATAATGCCACAACCACACTGACATATTTTCTTTCGTCCTAACAATTAAAAAATTATTAATATTAAAGATCTATTAATATTATTGTAAGATATTATAGATGATATAATTTACCTGATTTTGACAAATAAGATCTTTTTGTTTCATTAAAGAATATACATATAGTGGAACTAATAATTTATGCAACAGATGTTCTGAAAGTACTTTGTTAAGGTCGGGTATATTTAAGCAAAGTATATCATTTAAATAATGCAAATGATCCAAGTGTTCTGCCACTAAATCTGATAATCTATTTTGACTTTGATGACTATAACATAATAATAATAATAATAATAATAATAATAATAATAATAATAATAATAATAATAATAATAATAATAATAATATATTTATTTATTTATTTTGTTCATTCGTAGTAGTAATACGAAAATATGAAATGTTGCAATAAAACTTACTCTGCATCATTTCGGACACACGTATCCAATTCTATAATATGATTACCAATAAACCATACAAGATTACTAAAATAAGGTGCTGCTGTGCGATCTCTTATAAATGCCAACATAGACACATCTTCCACACGATATACATTTAAAGTCAAAGTTCTTACTGCTATACGAACCATACCCTCTGAATGATTGAAAAACTTAATGGCTTCCGTATATAGAGGAAAGTCATTGGTATGCTGATAAAAATGTTAAATTACAAAGTATTCTTATATATAAAACATAATGTTTGTGTGATAAATGTGATTCAAATTATGCAAAATAACAAAAGTAAAGTATATATTTCGTACACACAAACATTTATTTAAAATTTTGATTACTTATTAAAATGAATTTCTTAAAATAATTATGAAAAAATATATGATACTAGATAAAAAGTGAAATAAGAAACATATAGATTTATTACGTATACCTCGTTTACCTCGTTATAGAAGAAATGGATGGTATGAGTATTTAACTTCAAGCTTAAGGTTTTTAAGAAACTGATGTAATATGCCATTACCTCCTCATCACTGAAGTCAAATTTGTGCACAATAATACTATTTACATGGTTATTACTTAGTAGGTAGTCTACAAATATTTTTCAAATATATAATACATATTATGAAAACGAAATAAACAATTAAAAAAAATAGTTTACATAAAATATAACTTACACAAAGATGTTTCATTGCGTATATTTTCAAATAAGATATTGAGCGTCTGAAGTAATTGAACACATACGTAACTTCCACATTTCTGCTTCATAATACGCAAGAAGAATGAAAGCATGTTCTTTTCTAAAAAGAAGCTGTGAACAATGTGAAAAAATTATTATTCATCATATTTTGGTTAAATTTAAAGATGGAACAGAATGTTAGATTAAATAATAAGTAATATTACTTACTCAAAGACGCTACTATCGTTCTGATCACCCCATATTAAAATTTCAGCTATTGAACGAAGAGTTTCTACTAATAAACCTCTATTATTTTCAGAAACTGTTTGATTCTTCGACAGAACATTGTACAGGTACCTAAGCATAACATAATATTTAAAATCATAATAAAAAATTGAAATAAATGTACATACTTAAGGTGCTCTAATGAATGTGGATTTTTTGGCTTCCAAAGGCCTCCTCCAAACCAACTACGACTTCGAAACATTTTCATATGTATAAACTTAATTGAGTATGCTTCACAATGTATTCATGCTTGATTTTAGTTTAATTTAATTTCTTGTAAATATTACTTCATGTCGTTTAGATAAATTATGTGAGATTTGATGATTTATATTTGTCAAATATGTCTAAATATACGGATTATTTCAAAGATGCGTCATAAAACATATTACATTGTTTTAAAATAAAGGTTATTATCTATCGAAGAATTTCTCTTTTGCAATATATTTTGGCCTAATTACTGATCTTACTTCAAATGTCGTCACATATCATCATATATTTCGAGTTTACACATTGTACAAATTACAACGAAGTGTATTATATACGATAAATTTGTAATATTCTACTCAACACAACACGCGACGCAATTCTACGTTAAATTACGAACTATGAACTGGCGTGTTGTATGTATGCACATCTCAAGTCAGGTTATCTCTTTAAGGCAATTCATCACCTTTCGGTCGAAAAGTGTGTGACTTCAGCGACAGGTATGGACAAAATATGAACTACATGCACAAGCAGAGAACACTCCACTTTCATGCACTATCATATCAGTCTATAAGCTCGAATAGCTTATACTCTTACGCATAACATAACGATCGGGTTAGTTGAGTTAGAATAGATAATTTAGTAGGCTATGAACTCACGATTTTCATTCTTTCACATTAATATCCTTCTTTAATGTGTGTAACATGCTGTGTAGTAATCCATGATAAATATGATGCAGCACAGGTACGCTGTATTTATTTTACGATATAAATGCATAAAGAATAATAAATATAATTGATATGAAAATTAGTAAATATTTATACATCAAATATTATTTTATATGATAAATGTATTTCCTTTTCTTATTATTATTCTCATTATTATATTATTATATTATATATCATTACCATAGTGATAATAATAATACTATATAAAGTTTCTCTTATAGGAAAAACTACGAAAAAAGAATAGTGCTTGGAGTTTTATTTCATAGACAGTGCTAGCAATAGACAGAACTAATGTTTTGATTTTTATAAAAACAATATATAATATATTATATTATATATTCTTATTTATAATATATATTATAATTAATATATATATATATATATATATATATATATATATTATATATTAATATAAGTATATATTCATTAATTACTATTTTAGACCAAATAATCAACAAAATCTTAATTTTAGTTGCAAATTTATATATTTAATATTTGTCCATAGAATTCTACTTATTTGTGGAAATATTATTAGCAATGTAAAGTGTTAATGCTTTAATGTTTAATTAGAATTGGATTAAAGGGAATTTGAAAATACATTGAAATATGCAGCCGTTCGTCCAGTACCACTTGCATTAAATCGAAATTCGATAAATAGCAATATCGACCCAGATCTCGCCACGTGCAGATTGCTGCATCTGGAGACCCACAGGCTAACGGTGACTCTACTTTAAAACCCGCGATATCAGATTGACATGCCACTTATTGAAAATTCTGGCTCCTAACGTTAACTCGAAGCGACTTGCTCTCCACTTACGGATAGCAGAACCGTCGTAACATTGAAAGTTTCAATCACTACAATATTAAACACGACCGTTCATGCTTTTTGAATTTCGAAAAATAAAACGAAGTCTACGGTATGACTTATTCGCGCTCGCGTATAATATGTTTATGCGAACTTACTATTGTTTAAATATAATATATATTATATTTAATATATATAACATTTAATTGTTTAAATATATATAATAAGATTGTTTAAATAATTATGAAAATTATTCTTAAGACTTATTATCATGAACGACTGAATCTTTATTTTCTTATTTTTATCGTAAATTCATCAGTCGAAAATTCATTAAAATGCCTAAATAATGCAATAGCCTGTTTTTAAGTATGGCGAAACACGTTTTCTTGCGTTTGAAATGAATTAGAAAATCTGAGCATCGATTAACGCATACAAAACAAGCAATCGGTTATTTCACGGAACAAACTATATATCATTCTATCGCGTTTATAAGAAAATCAGTAATAAAAGTAGATGTTTTTTTTGTGCTACAAAGCTCTAGGGATCTAATATACGAAATTTTTTTTTTAATGATAAATGTCGAAAATAGCATTTACGGTGAGTTCAGACATAATTCTTGAAAAATTTTGGTGAACAAGATGATAAGCTTTATTTTTATATATAAACTGTTGTCGAAAAAATACCATTTTATATTCACTCATTATTTATATTCTATTGTCTATATTCATTTCTCCATTATAATGTACTTATATTCGAAAATTATGTGATCACGGCGGGTAAATAGGTAACCAATCAAAACAAGTTACCTTGTTGCACTTTTCACTATGAGGTTATGTACATTTAAATCAATTCGTGTATTATTTATACTGTAACGAATGTGTCTTTTTAAGTGTATATAATATTTTTTCTTTAAAAGAAAATATTTTTTTGAATCATTTATAATGCGAATATTGGAACTATATAGCGGTATTGGCGGAATGCATTATGCCTTTCGAGGTACATTTAATTTAAATCTTATACATATATATTAATTGCACCAAAGACATTACAAAATTTGTATGAATTTAATATTTGTTAATTGTTTCTTCATTATTATGTCATTTTCTAGAAAGTGGAGTGGTTGGAAATGTTATTGGTGCAGTGGATATAAATCCTATTGCCAATAACGTATATAAACATAATTTTCCAGAAGTCTTACTCATGAACCGCAACATTGAATCTATAAGCGAAGAGGAAATTATAAATCTAAATATAAATATGATACTTATGAGTCCTCCTTGTCAACCATTTACTAGAGTAGGATTGCAAAAGGACAAATTAGATAACAGATCATGTTCACTGTTTCATCTTTTACAAATTATACCACAAATTTCATCTTTAAAGTATATATTATTAGAGAATGTGAAGGGATTCGAAAACTCAGAAACAAGAATAGAATTACTGAAGTGCCTTAAAAATTGCAATTTTAATTATAAAGAATTAATTTTAAGTCCAAATCAATTTGGTATTCCAAATACCAGGCATAGATATTATTTGCTTGCTAAGAAAAAAGGTTTAAAATTTTGTTTCGATGATTCTGTATTAGACCATAGCCTTTCTCAAAGATTAATGACACTTCTTCCACAAAGTAAACATAAACTGCTTATAGAAAAAGATCATGTAGATAATATGGAATGCGGTGTTATCTGTTATAAGTTAAAACATATTTTAGAAACTTGTGAAGAATCATTATACTTAATTCCTAAAAATATTCTACAGAAACGAGCTACACTGTTAGATATAAGAACAGCAGAAAATTTTGGATCTTGTTGTTTTACAAAAGCTTATGGACACTACATTGAAGGTACAGGTTCTGTATATTGTCCATTTTCAGAAGAAATAGTACAAAAAAGACTTATTGAATCAACCAAATATGAAAAATATTCAGAAGATCAATTACAACTTTTTTTATCTTTGAAGTTAAGATATTTCACACCAAAAGAAGTGTCTAGGTTAATGTGTTTTCCAGAAGATTTTACATTTCCAAATAGTACAACAATTAAACAAAAATACAGATTATTAGGTAATTCAATTAATGTTGATGTAGTTAGCAAATTAATATTTTTATTATGTACTAAAGAGAATGAGAATATATGAGATATTTATTTAAATAAAAGTATTTGTGAGTTACAAATTATATAAATTTTTCAACTTTATTATAACAATTTTATATTCAAAGTTAATAAAAGCATTATAGAATTGTTGATATACTTAATGTACTACGAAAAGTACATACGTAAGAGATATAAAATTATGTATCATATAAATGATATAAATAATAAGTACTTATAATATTTTTAAAAATTTGATAGATAATTAATTTAATAAACTATTTTCTTTATTATAACACGCACATAAATTATTTCAATACAGATACTAAATTGAAGTTTTTCCAATAATAAAGACTTGTTTTAATTATTTATTGGTGATCATATCATGATGAATATATGAATTTCTATTAATTATTCATAATATTTAGAAGTTATACATTATATTTACAAAAACTAGTTATATGTACTTATATACATATATATATATATATATATATATTTTGTTTAGATTGTTTAAAATTTATATGATTTCTAATTCAGATGGAATATGAATTTTTTTTTCTGCAGCAAATTTTTTGAGTGCCTGATATTTGGAATGCCAAGATTCTATTTCTTCCCTCATGCGATTATTGTCCTCCTGCATTGCTTCCATATCACGATATTCCTGAGTCTTTTCTGATTCTAGCTCATCTTTCTGTTCTATCCGTTTTATACGGCAACTGGCTGCATAACCTCTGTTTTTTAAAGTTCTTCTTCTTTGCTTCATTCGTACTATTTCTTCTCTCGACAATCCACGCAATTTCAACTGTCTATTCAAATCTCTGACAGATATTGTAACGAGTTCATCATCACTGATATCCAAACATGGTCCTGGTGAAAGGGGATCCTATACAAAAACAAGAAAATATAATAAACAAGATAAATAAGTAAGTCAGATAATAGAGATTACACTAATAAAATAAAAATATAAAATAAATTCATTACAGAATAATATAGTAAATTTTACATTTATTTTTTATCTATTTTAGAAACAATAATATTTTACTAATTTTTCTTGTAATTTGTAGATGTATCGCTACAATATATTATCGCAGACGTATTATTTATAATGTTATAGTAACGTACATTTATCGAAATAAATACGATCGGTAATAATGAAAGACATTTTGCTCACGTGTGATAGTTGCCGACGTACCATCTTTATAGATCGCTTTCCGTCCATAGCCATTTTTTACCTGAAAATATTCACGTTCCAACGTAAAGCGAACAAAAAATAGAACGTTTTCTCCAGCCTTCTGTGGTTTCTCGATCAATTTGCCTAGTCATTCTAGAACACGAAACGACGACGGTAGCAGCCATGATAGACATTATCATATATATCATTCTGAAAACATCGAATTTTCTTAAACGATATAATTTGTAATATAATTTTATTTATGTACACAATTAAACTATACGGCTTTTTATAGAATGATTTCTTTAAACGTTGTAAAAATACTTTTAAGGCTGTTTTTTTTTACATATTTATATTGGTACAACAATTTCATGCATTTCATTCATTTGGGTATAGTAACGCCATCTGTTAAGGTAAAAGTACACTTGTTAGATAGTATACTTCGATTTCGGATTAGTATTTACCACGTATTCCGCTGAAATGTAATGTTACTTTAATAAAATGGAATTTTTGATCAATTTTTTTTTGTTGCAGAAACAATTTACTATAGATATTAGTATTAATATAAATAAGTAATATAAAACTTATTGCTTAAATAGTTTTTACGGTATAAAATTATTTGAATAAATGTCCTTTATGTGGAATAATATTACGAACATAAAAAAGCATACAAATCATCTTTGCTTTTTAAATATATAAATATAGATACATATGTATGTACAATTAAAATATTGTTCTTAAAATTGTCATAAGAAGTTAAGATAAAAGTAGACTAAAGCGAATAAGATTCTAGAAAATACATTTTGCGTTTTTCTTTTTTTCTTATGCATTATACTATTATTCTTATTATTATTATTATTATTTTACTCGACTGAGTTATGTTTTAATTAACTTACGAATATTTGGACATCCAAGCTGGATGGCTTCTATTCTAGGGTTTTTATCTCGTGCAGCAATAAAAAAATAAAAGTATCGGTGTCACAATAATATTGACTAACTTTTTTCTCTTTTTAGATCCCCGATAGTAGCCATTATCTTCCCGTAGTAACTCAATAGCCGAGAAAATGGCAAGAAGAGAAGAAAAATGTATGGTGAAGATGAGAAGAAAAAGGAAAAGGTGGAGAAGACGATGCTTGCAAGAACGAATAAGAAGAAAAAGAAGGTAGCATGGTCATATTAATTTTTATACTAGTTAATTTCTATTTTCAATCTTATCATTAGACGTACTATCGAGAGAAACAAACTGTTAACAAATTATTTTATGCGTCTCATTATTCGACGAAATAACTTTAAAATAAGTTCGAAAATATAAAAAGAAAAGAAAAAAAACGAGGAGAATTTAAACGGATGAAATATTTTGAATTCAATTTTTCGCTTGTTCATTTTATTTCATAAATGTTAATGAATTTGCGTAGAAAAATTTGTTGTCCTTTTGTCTTTTATATAACTTAGAAACGAAGTTATTCGTTTTACCTTTTTCGTTATTAATGTTATATTTTCTGGTAATCGTTCTGTAGACAAGGTTCAAAGGTAGAAATATTCTTTTATCGTATTTCCTAAAGGAGTTTTCGTCGTAGTCGGCAATAACTATTATATTTAGCGAGAAAAAGTAGTCTCGTCGAGGAAGCCAAGAAACGAAGACGACGACGACGACGACTACGACGATGATGACGAAGTTTTTAAAATGAGTTATCCGTTCGTCGTTCTTACGACAAGTTGGTTCTTGGATGCGATTAGCCGAAAATGATGTTCTTCTTAGAACGAAATGATCGATAAAAATAGAGAGAGAGAAAAGATTATCGTTTTTCTTTTCTCACGGTCGGTTAATATCGAAAAATTTGTTTGAAAATAATTTTTTTTTTTTCTATCAAATAAGCATATTAACATCGTGTCGTTATCAATTTATGGAAAAACACGTTCCATCGAGCCAAGGAATGCGATATTCGACGTAATATATATGCGTAATTATACATTAGGATACTAAAGGCTATCATTAGAAATATACGATGCGTATAGCTCGTGAAACTATCCGTAGTACGTTATATTATATCGAAAGATGCTATTAACCGAATCGACATAAATATGTTCGTGCTTCTTTAATGAACGAGTCTATGTGTACGTATGTAATAAATTTATATATACAATTGAATTGTTCGTTTTTTACATTCAAACCGTTGGCATTTTAATATATTCGTAGGATGCTCTTGGTTCATCGTTCGAAAATTTGACATAACGAAATTTCATTTCGCGTTAACCATTTGGAAATATGCAAGAGGTGTCCGACTTGACACACAACTAGCTTACTCGTTATCCGCTGGGAGACATTTCTCACGCATCAGCTATAATTAAACGGAGACTTGTAGGATGTACAGGGTAAATGCCAAAGGTACGATGCATAAAGTTAACTCGTTCGCAATGAACTATCGTATAAACTCGTGGTACATTCTGATTACTTCGTTGAGATATAGTATGGATCAATGTGCATTATATGTTGAGAGGAAGAGAAAGAGATAAAAAATATATTTTATACTTTGAATGAATTTTTCAGGAAATCGTATATTTATTTTATATCATTTTCTTCATCCTTTGTTCCTTTATTTACGTCTTCTACATTTTTATCTATTCTTATTTTTAAATTAAAATTATTATTTTTATTTTAATCCTTATTATCTTCACATAATTTAATAACATAACGTAATACAATGCGTTGTTTTATGAAAGTATTTATCCTTGTTTATTTTTTCTAATATATATATAATGTACTTACATGGCAAACGTTAGCTTCAAACCACTACGTCTGATCTCTTCTTTTCACTCGTTTCCTTTAATACAATGCTTGTTGCGTTATAAGCATTCCATTCATTCGATCTCATGTTTATTAATGCATTTCTGCTCGTTCGTTTTAGAGAGACTACACTGTAAAGTCAAGGCGTTAGTAATAGATACGTCTTTGCTCTCCTACTTTTCTCGTTTGTCTTTTATCTTCCTATTCGTGTTTTTCTCCTTTCTTCATTCCATTTCTTTTTTTATTTTTCCTTCTTCTCGTACAATTCCTGTCTTCCTTTTTTGCGAGAAAGTCATTTATCATACTATTTTTTTTACTCTTATCATGACGATTTAGTTTCTCTAGAGTATAAATATATATATATATATATATATATATATATATGTACATATATGTATATAGTATCAAGCATTATAGTTACCTATCGAATTTGAGATCGGTGGCTTCGTTCAACGAACAGTCCATTTTCGTCGCATTGCGGAAAATCAAATGTCTAAGTATTTCTATTGTCACATAATATCATCGTTCTTTAATCTCGTTTAACAATCTTACGAACGTCATCTCTTGTTTTATGCATATTTTTTGCTTTTCGAACTTTTTTAAAAAAATGTTTCATTAACGAACAAAAATGTTTTATAATTAAATAACAAGATTTTATGAAATACAGGTTTTTTTTCTTTCATGTTTGTTACATGAAAAGTCGGATAATTTCTTCCTGTTTTTTTTCTTCTCTTTACATTATCCTTTCTTTATTTTATTATAACTTAATTTTTTTTATTCGCAAAGATTCGACTATAATGTTTTTTTATTATCTACGAGTTTTTATATCTCATTACGTTCGTAAGTTTTATTATCTCGTTAGCATGGTACGACGAATATAAATCCGTTTCACTTGGCGGTCGCACGATCGGCGTGTCTTTACTACTTCCTACCGACTTGAGTTCTCTCTCGAATGTACCAACGGACTTCATTAATTTCGCTTCACTAACGGATAGAGTTGTGTATAGAGAATATTTGCTGTATTATCACGATATTTGACGTCCATCATAACGACCTTGAAGTTTCACATCAAAGACACAGTAATCGAGTCTCACAAACTAAACGTTTATTGAATGTCCCTGACAAGAAACGAACGTATCGAACAAAGTTGGATTTTAAAGCGAATTTCTTGTAAAATCTTTCGTAATTGTTTACGTCTGAATATATTCCATTTCATATTTTATCCAATCTGAATTGTTTTAGATACGTGATCTTTCATAAAGTTTTTTATTCGATCAGACTAAAGTTTTCAAATATAGTTATAAGTTCTTAAAAGATTTAAGTTCGAAAGGTAGATCATAAAGACGCGAACAATCAAATAAAATATTTAAATTACTTCACTCAATTGTGAGAATGATCTATAGATCAATAAAAATCGAAAAGTTTTTGTTGTAATTATCATTGATACTTTAAGTAACATATTCGTATTTCTCTTTCTAATTTTATTTTGATGGACATATTGTATTCATAAATTTTTTAGTTAGAGAAATATGAAAGGAAGAAATAGACGATCGATCGGAAGAGGATCGGACAGCTGTAAGATGGGTGTGGTAAAAGAGGCCGATTGAACCGGCTTATTTCCTGCTGGCTTCTTTCCTAAGCGATCGAACGTGAGTATTATCGCGTTGCAAAAGCCACGCCCTACGATCCATCGAGACCGTTCGTTCGTTTTTTCTAAGGATTCTTCATTTAAACGAGTTAATTGTCAATAGCGCGTTTTGCATATGACAGCTCGCTGCTCGTATTCGAAGGATCCAAATGTATGCCGATATCCTCTTTTGAAATCCGCTAGTATTATTTTCAGAGATGCAAGAATTGCTAGAAATGAAAAATTTTTAAGAAAATCATTTTGAAGGGAATCAGATCAAATGACAAAAAAATTAATAATAAATTATCTAATATCAGTTTATTTATATAATAGATAGATCACTCAGATAGATTGTACAATAAAGAATGTAATAATATTTTTTAAAATCATTAGTTTCTTATATTAATTTTCATAAGATTATTATCACTGACGATGACTTATATCATAATGGTACTTTCAAAATGTCCAATTCGGAATAAACAAAAATATCATTTCTAAGATAAATGTGTGCATAGATACATACGTATAGTATATCTGATACGCTTTTGATAATATAACATTTTGCCCTTGAAAGTTCGGTTCTTTGAATAAATCTATTTCCGGTGCAAAGCTGACTTGGATGAATCAGTCAGGCTGTAAAGAGTGGGTATAGATATATATAGTTCATAACTTAAGGGTTAAAGAGAGAAATCGCAAGATAAAGAGAAGAAAGAGAAGAAAGAGAAGAAAAAAGAGAAGAACAAGAAGAAGAACAAGAAGGAGAAAAAAAGAAGAGCGGTCATCTCAGAGCGATACGACGAGGGGTTGCTTTTGCTTTGAGGGTTGTTTGTGCGGGGTGCGGCGCATTGCTTTCGTCGGTCGTTCTCGGATGTCTTCGGGCGTCGCTCCGACATTCGATGCGTT